GGATCAACACAGAGGAGATGTCTTATCGCCAAGGTCAATACTTTTACCATTCTGAGAAACAACTGCACCTGCTCAGGGCAGACCAGCAACAATTAGTGCAGACTCAAACCGCAGGCTGACCTCAACAGCATTGATGGCTTGAGGGCACTGATCAAGAGGGCAGTAACCGCAGGCCAATTGTGAGGGCACTGACTACAGTCCAGTCACAAGGGCAGCTAGTTCTGGGTTCATGGAACTGACCATAAGTGATTTGGGTCTGTTTGTTGCTCATTGTGGTGAAAAATCTGAATGTCTACTGTCAGTGTTCCCAGGTCAGCGAGTCCCACTGATGGTGCTCAAGGTCAGTCTGGTTATAGTCTGTTTGTGTGCCTCTGACTCAGTGGTGAATCTGTAGATAGCATTAAGACAGGAGAAGCAGGGCACACTCCCTGTTAGAGTTCCAGCTTCTCACCGTTGATCTCAGCTCCGTGCAAGAACAATAGATTAAACAGTACAGATTAGATTTGGTGTTCATGGGCAAAATGGAGTTTGGAGCTTGGACATTCCTGACTGTTACTTTTGCCTCCAAACTGGATACTGTACAATCTGACTCTCTCACTGTGATTGTTCTGGTTCTTTTGAATAAAAGATTTGTATATTTATATGAACTGATAGCCTGTGTTTCCAGTTATTGACATTGACATCTACCACCATATTTCAGTCATTGTAAAAGTTTTTTATTTGCTCATGGATATGAGTGTTCCTGATTGGGCCAGCTCAGCCTACATGGCTCTATGGAGAAGGTGGTGGTGTGCTGTGTTAAACCACTGAAGCCCCTGAGGTTGTATAATTTCACTGAAGTTAATTCTGGGTTTTAAACTTACTTTTGTGGAGTATTGAGTAATCTTTAGTCCTGAATCTGAGTTTATTTCCTCAGCATGTTTTCTCACTGGGACATGGTGTCACCGTTTGTCTGTTCCTTGTTGTCCCATCAGTTACAGAATGTTGCTAGGTTTTTGTGCTAGGGCAGGAATGTCTGTGAAAGGGAGTATGGGTTCTGCATGATCTCTTCAAACACACACGCTTCCAACACAAGACCAAGTCTTCTTTCCCCTCACTCTTGTGCCCACTCTCTCACTCGTGCACAGACCAATGCTCACTGTCTCTTTCAGTGGAAGTTATTGTTCAGGGAACCCTGGTTTATTTTTGTTTCTCTTGTCCCTATTCTGGTGACAATGGGAGTATATAGGACAGAGGGAGATCTTTCACTCCACTGTGTCCATGGTGCAGCAATCTATAGTAAATCCCATTGTGACATCTTCCTTTATTTCAGAAGTTTGTTCTGAGACCAGTTGTAGCTGTTGCTGCAGTGCTGGGAGCAGCTAACAGTCTGTAGAACTTATCACCCAAGTGAACATGGGGAACTGACTGGAGCAGAGACCCAACAGCAGTTTTGTTACACCATATGTGTAAACGTGGCTTAGTTTCTCTTCTGTATTCCTGAGATAAGTGTGTCAATCCCGTGTTGATAAGCAGTCTATGTAAAGGGCCCTGATTGTTGCTGTGGATGGTGATCAGGGATACAAGAAACCAGAGCATAGCTGAAGGAATTATCTTTTTCTTTATTCTTTCATGGGATGTGTTTGTTACTGACCAGGCCAGTTTTCATTGGCCCTCCCTAATTGCCCTTGATCTGAGTGGCTTGTTCCGACCCATTAGAGGGGCAATTGAGAGTCAAGCAAATTGCTGTGGGCCCAGAGCCTCAAGCAGGCCAAACCAGGAAAGGATTCTGGACTCCATTGTATGAAACATTGCAGCTGGGGCTGTACATAGGCAACACCAGAAAGCTGGTGATGTATGTGTTCTGAGACCAAACTCCATGCCTTATGCTACTGTTTGAGCGTGATCCTTTTTAGTGAATTCAATGCCATGTCTTCCTTGCTGTCCCTATACGAGAAAGAAATTCTTTTCAAACTCAAATGTTGCAAAGTGCGAGAGAGGCAATTCAATAATTTTGATCTGTCGCAATATGAGAAAAGGGCCATTTACACAGTACAAGTTTGCGCATGTAGAAATGAAACAAATGAGAGATGCCAGTGAGGGATAAATGTCCTCTCTTGGATGTAGCTGAGCTTCTTGCCTGTTGGTACAACAAATGATTTTTCTGGCACTGTCCTCAACTCAGGGAGGAGAGTTTGAGCAGTGAGGAACTGAGGCACAGTGAGGAACTGAGGCACAGCGAAAGATCTCTGCCCCGATCCTGTAGCCAAAGTACAGATGCGTCTGAGCCAGCTAAACCTTTGGTAGTTGGAGTCTGGGTAATCACAGTGGTAATGAACAACCTCTGCTGTAAGCTGCTTGTGTGTATGGCTATGCACTAGAAAAACAAAACCTATGCATGCCCTGTGCTGAACTGGCACTTGCTGACCATCAATGAAGGACCAGTCTAGAGTCAGACCTCCCACGTAATGTGCTGACACCTGACGGCTGTGTACAGACAACCAATCAATCCGAGGATCCTCCACGGACCACAACAAAGCCCCTGCCTCTGGAACCTGGTCTGTACCTGACCACATAACTGCTCCAACTCCATGCAAATGATGCAAACCTATGATCATTGAAGCAGGTTCAGGGAAGGGGGAAGAAGCCAAGTCACTTCACATCCCATCAGGGACTGGAATTGAAAGCTTTAGAAAAGGGCTTGGAGACCTCCAGAACTCATGGTCTTCTCAGCAGTGACTCAGAGCATCCAACATGAGGTCAAGGAAGTAGGTACAGCCAGAAGGAAACATAGAAAATAGGAGTAGACCATTCAGCTCTTGAGCCTGCTTCTCTATTTGATATCCAACTCAGCACCATGTACTTGCTTTCTCCCCAAACTCTTTGGTCCCCTTAGCCCTAAGAACTATATCTATCTCCTTTTTGAAAACATTCAATATTTTGGTCCCAACTGCTTTCTATGGCAGAGAATTGCACAGGCTCCCCACTCTCTGGGTGAAGAAATTGCTCCTCATCTCTGTCCTCAATGGCTTACCTGGAATCTTTAAACTGTGAGGATTCCAGAAGAAAGTAACATGTGACACAAATGGCAAGTTATACTTTTCTTTCTTGTTTTAAAACTTTTCTTGATAAGTTTAAAATATATCCAAAAGAAGCAAATGAGCATTCAAGCACCTCAATGAAATCCTGTGTACTGTTCAAAAGGAAAATGGTTTTTCAGATTCTTCAAAACTGAAATGCCATCTTCAGCACAGAAGCAGCATGCGAACCAGTGAGAGATAGTAGGAAGTGAGATTTCCACTAAGACAGATGAAAGCAAAAGTGGAATTTTAATTTAAACTTGATTCATTAACATCATGGTCTATTCAAATATTTTGGTTTTATTCATTCGCAGGATGAGTGTCACTGGCTAGGCCAGCACTTATTACCCATCCCTAATTGCCCAGGGCAGTTAAGAATCAACTATATTGTTCTGGGTCTGGAGTCATATGTAGGCCAAAACTTTCCTTCCCTAAACCCCGTGGTCATCATTAGTTCCTTAATTCCATATTTTTATTGAATTCAAATTCCATCTTCTGAGAGGAGGATTTGAATGCAGTCCCCAGAACATTACGTGGGTCTCTAGATTAACTGTCTAGTGATAATACCACTAGGCCATTGCCTCCCTCATGAAGGAAAATTAGCGCAAATCAAAATTGTTACAGCGCAGGAGGAGGCTGTTCGGCTCATTGCCCCTGTGCTGTTCATGAAACAGCTTCCCTAGCCACAATGGGGAGGCCCATGGCCTAGTGGTATTATCGCTGGACTGTTAATCCAGAGACCCGGATAATGTCCTGGGGACCTGCGTTCAAATCCTGCCACAGCAGATGGTGGAATTTGAATTCAATAAAATATCTGGAATTAAGAATCTAATGGTAACTGTGAATCCATTGTCAACTGTTGGAAAAACCCATCTGGTTCACTTATGTCCTTTAGGGAAGGAAACTGCCATCCTTTCCTGGTCTGGCTTACATGTGACTCCAGACTCTCAGCAATGTGGTTGACTCTGAACTGCCTTCTGGGTATTTAGGGAACGACAATAAATGCTGGCCTAGGAAGTGATGCCCCCCTCCTGTGAATGAATAAAAAGCCTCTCTGCTTTCTCCCCATTTGAAGGGAATAAGCTTACAATGCAGCAAGCACTGACTCTATCGGTGAATGGAGAATGGCAGTGCAACAGCACCAGCCCAGCCAGTGACTGAGGTATATCCTGTGTTTGATTAATTAATTGTCGCTATTCAGAGGCAGACTTATTGAAAGAAAAATACCAGATTGTTGAATTAACTGTGAGCTAGTTTATATAAATGGTTTTGAATAGTGACAAATAGACTCGGCACAGTCATCCATTTTCTCTTAGTGCCAATTATTCAGTGAGAGATAAATGGAAAATGATTTGGGAATGTCATTCAACTGCTTCTCCTAGATCCTTTGTAACAGGCTGTAATAGTGTGTGTGTGAGTGAGAGAGTAGAAGTGAGGCAAGAGACGGTCAAGACACTTAGCACCACTACCACCAAGTTCAGCAACAACTTTGTTTACTGTTGAAGAAAGGAGTGAAACATCTACACTCTTAGAAGAAGGTCTTTTCCAGATAATTGTTGAGGAACATCCCGGAAGGATCCAGCTCCTCACGGATCGAGCAGAACTTGTGGAATGCTGGGTACATCTTCTCAAAGTCTTGGCGTAGACAGCTGTGTGCCTGAATCATTGAGAAAGAAGAGTTAGGAACCCGGCCTGGCAGGAAGTGTCGAGTGGAATGCATCTCAACTCTCCAGAAGCTTAGAAAAGTGAGAAGTGATCTTGTTGGAAAGTAAACAATTTTCCTAGGATTTGACAAAATAGATACTGTGAGACAGTTTCCCCAGGAGGCTGATGATGCTTCGTTATTGGATGAGTGGAAGACAGAGGTTGAGAGAGAGGAAGTCTAATGTCAGCACTTGGTCCCATACTCATCTCCATTGAGACAGACAATCATTGTTACTCACCTTTGCCCAGTGTGGTCTTCCGCCATTCCTCTTCATGATCTCCTCATACATTGCCCAATACTGCTCCCGGGGCACCTCCTTCCCATAGGGTCTGTGAGTAAAAGTTCTGGTTAATCGCAGCCTGATAAAAGGAAGCGGGGATATACCGCAGGGCACAAGGATGGTGAGAGACACTGGACACTTCAATCAGCATCAACAACCTCTTTCTTGACATATTCTTTTTCCTTTCTAGAGCAGAGTGTTAATATCTGAGGCTCCCATGGAAGTACAGAGTACTTGGCAGAGGTCAGCTATTCTCTATTACCCACTGTCAGTAAGACACCATTATGGGGAGTCAGTGGCACAGTGGTAATGTCATTGGATCAGTAATTTAAAATCCTGAGCTAATGTTCTGGTGGCCATGCATTCAAATTCTTTCATGATTGAAGGAGATATATGAATTCAATAAAAAATTAAAATCTGGATTTAGAGCCATAGAAATGTACAGTATGAAAACAGACCCTTTGCTCCAACTTGTCCATGCTGACCAGATATCCTAAGTTAATCCAGTCCCATTTGCCTCTAAACTCTCCCTTTTCATATACCTATCCAGGAGCCTTTTAAATGTTGTAATTGTACCGGCCTCCTCCACCACCTCTGGCAGCTCATTCCGCACATGTATCACTGTCTGCATGAATAAGTTGCCCCTTAGGCCCATTTTAAATCTTTTCCACCTCACCTTAAACCTATGCCCTCTAGTTTTGAACTCCCTCACCTCAGGGAAACGAACTTGGCTATTCACCCAATCCATGCCCCTCATATTTTATAAACCTCTATAAGGTCCCCCTCAGCCCCTGATGCTCCAGGGAAAATAGCCCCCAGACTATTCAGCTTCTTCCTATAGCTCAAACCCTCCAACCCTGGTAAGATCCTTGTAAATCTTTTCTGAACTCTTTCAAGTTTCACAACATCCTTCCTAGGGCAGGGAGACCGGAATTGAATACTGTTTAATTGAAATGATTTAGTTTAATGGTGACCGTGTACCAATGTCAATTGTTGTGAAAACCCATTTGGTTCACTAATGGTCTGTAGGGAAAGAAATCTGCTGTCCTTGCCTGGTCTGTCATTAGGTCCACAGTGGAGCTAGTGATTGTTTCTTAAGTGCCCTCTGAATAATTAGGAATGAGTGGTAAATGTTGATGTGATCCCCACATTCCCATGTACAAATTTGAAAAAAAACTTATGCTGTACACAGAGACAACAAGGTGTAGAGCTGGATGAACACAGCAGGCCAAGCAGCGTCATAGGAGCAGAGAGGCTGACGTTTCGGGCCTAGACCCTTCACATTCCTGGGGCTAACACTGAGACACAAGCAAGCCAAGCAGTATCAGTTGAGAGTGAGTCATTGGAGCAGAGGAATAGAATTAGTGTATCTAACCTGAAATATTAATCTTTTCTTCCTATTTCAACAGATGCTACCTGACCTGTTGAGTTTCTCTAGCATGTTCTGTATTAATTTCTGCATTTCAGTATATACCATAGTCTGCTTTTAGGGTGTGCCTTAGTTTGGGAACAGCAGTGAAACTAAGGGACAGTCTCCCTTTTAGACAACAGGACTGTGTCACTTTGGCCCTTCTCGCAGCTTCCCTGCTGTCAGTGCCCCACGCCTTCGCTCACTGTTACCTGTACATGATAATGTTTATGAAGCAGCTGTCTTGCTTATAACAGGGACTGAGCAGGATATCATCTGCTCGAACAAACCGAACCTCGACAGGAAAATGTGCTTGCACGTTTGGATTGCTGTCCAACCAATTCTTCAGTTGCTCCAGAGCTGGCCTCGTCTGCATGCTGTTCAGAGTAACAAAAGCCAATCAGTCATGAAACAAGCAAGTTTTCTGACCCAGTTTTGCCATTTTCCCACATATCGCTGCACATGAAGCTGTAGCTTCATGTGTGTGTAGAGTCTAGATAAACTGGTTATCAAAGCTGAGGCGGCATGAAGGTGAAATTCATGCAGAATCTCAATTCGTAACCAACTCCTCCCTGAATTCACACAGGTACAATAAGAGGCCATTCAGCCCCAAGGCTGCTCTACTATCCAATTAGCTTATGGTTCGTCTGTATCTTTGCTGCATTTTACCTGCCTCACTGAATAGCAGCATAAGACAGACAGAGAGAAACGTATGACAGAAATGGTCAGACAGAAAGGTGGCTCAGTGGTTGGGGCGGCATGGTGGCTCAGTGCTTAGCGCTGCTGCCTCACAGTGTCAGGGACCCAGGTTTGATTCCACTTTCGGACGACTGTCTGTGTGGAGTTTGCACATTCTCCCTGTATCTGTGTGGGTTTCCTCCCACAGTCCAAAGATGTGCAGGTTAGGTGGATTGGCTGTGCTAAATTGCCCATAGTGTTCAGGAATGTGTAGATTAGGTGTGTTATAGGGGAATGGGTCTGGGTGGGATGGTCTGTGTGTCAGTGTGTACTTGTTGGGCTGAAGGGCCTGTTTCCACACTGTTGGGATTCTATGAAAAGAGATGGACAAATGGCAGAGGCGGAGATTATGAACTCTGGAGTCAGTCTGAGAAATTAAAGAGCCTGAGAGAATGATCGAGAGGAGATTTTCTTGAGAAGGGGGGGAGAATTTAGAAAGACAAGAGGCTGAGAGAAGCAGGGAGAATGTGCCATGCAGCCAGACACGAATTATCTGTGAGTAGAGATGAAGGTGATGGCCTAGTGGTATTATCACTGGACTGTTAATTCAGAGACCCAGGTAATGTTCTGTAGACGCCGGTTTGAATCTTGCAGTGGCAGATGGTGGAATTTGAATTCAGTAAAAATCTGGAATTATGCTGACTATAAATCAATTGTCAGATGAACCCACTGGCTCACTAATGACCTTTAGGGAAGGAAACTGCTATCCTTACCTGACCAACCACAGCAATGTGGTTGATCTTAACTGCCTGCTGACAGTAAATTCTGGCCTAGTCAGTGACGCCCTCAGCCCGTGAATGAATAAAAATAAAATGATGTTGCCATCAGCCTCCTTTCCTTGACTAGGTCTAAGGGCCCATTTGGGAAGTGGTACAGAACAACCATCAGTGAGTCTTAACACATTGCATGTCAGCAATTAGGTACAATCCACATTACCGGATTAGACATTGTTACTAAGAATATTGGGAGGTGTAGATGACACATATGCTGGGGGAGTGAGTCTGGGGTGGGCAGGTTGATGTTGAGGCAAGGGTTTGAATGGAGTAAGTCAGCAGCGGTGGAGGGAGAGGTTCTACTGGGATGGGTAATGGAGTGAGTCTGTAGGGGTAAATGGAGGGGTGGGGGAATGAGGCTGCGATTCAGGGGAAGGAAGTAGCCAGTTCGCTGACTGAGTATTGGGTAGGTGGAAATGGGAAGGGAAGGATAAGGAAGATGGGGAGCCCATAAACCGAGGAATGCTAAACTAACCTGGAGCCAGAATACTTGATATTATGGCTAATTAATTCCTTGCTATTAATGTACTTCTTAAGAAGTATTTGATAGATTTGATTTGATTTAATCTTTATTGTCACATACTCAAGTACAGGGGTACAGTGAAAAGTATATAATGTCGCCACACAGTGCTGTCCTAGGTACAAAGGTAGCTAGGTGCAAGTAGTCACATAGAGAAACAAAGTTAAAAGTAAAGCATTACCATTGTTGTTAGTATAACTAGAAAAATAAAGAAATAAAGTTAAAAGTTAACACTGCTTTCCTTCCTAGTGTTACGTTGAAAAATAGAGGAGTAAAGGTAAAAGTTTAACAGTCTTAAGTGTACTACCTGCAAGGTCTCGGTCTCTTCCACTTTGGCTCACTCTCTGAGAGACTCAAATTTGTCAATTATTGAAAAACAAAACCAGTTTCTAACTTAAGGTTTGTCTTGAACTAGTTTAAATATTGCAGTGCACAGGAAATGTAAGCTTCTCTGTCTGTAGTGCTTTTAAGTTTAATGTAAGGTTGATAATTATTGAAGACTTCTAATTCTGTTTCTGTTAGCCTAAGTACCATATAACACGTCAACACAAATACAGACGGTGGTGTTACCACGTGAATGCATCCCACCTAATGAAGGTGTTAGTGAGGATGAAAAAGTAGCCATCAATAAGAAACCCTTGAGAAATTTCAACAAGTTGCCCTCAAATAAAGAATATTTTGAGCCCTGGTTGGACGATAATGCTCAGATCTGACAGTGGAGTGTAAGGAGGTGCTACTTACATGGGTATAGACCAATCTGACACATGTTGCTTGAAGAGACAGTCAAAGTTGAAAGCCTTGTCACTGCGTTTGACCTGCTTGACCTTTGCTGAGTAAACCAGCCAATAATAGAATCGATTAACCCAGGGCACCAGGCGAGGGAAGAAGGTGCTGCACAGGAATGTCAAAGGGTTAGCGGTTAGGACATTCACTCAGGAATTACACTGACAATTAGTTTGGCATCATTCAAGCTCAAATCTACAATCCCTGAGGCCCAAAGATGAGTAAGGAATGCTCAAGGGGCCAGAATTCAAGGAATGCAGAATTGAGAGACTGAAGAAGATTGCAAAGATAGGGAGGTGTGAGAGTGGAGGTTGGACAGTTGGCATTGTGGTAATATCACTGAACTCATCGTCAAGAGTCCCTGGCTAATGTTCTGGAGACAGTTTCCATTCCCACCAGACTTGAATTCCAAAGATAACCACTGCTGTAAAAAAAAATCTGGTTTACTACTGCCCTTTAGGGAAGGAAAATGCAGTCCTACCCTGGTCTACATGTGACTCCAAGTAACGTGGTTGACTCTTAAATGGACAATAAAGGCTGGCCTAGTCAATGATGCACACGTACCATAAAATGCAACACATGTGGAGAGATTTCAGTAGAGAGGGCCATGGTTCTCCGGATGCACTGGTGATTTTCTGCAAAAGTAGACATCCTTGATGTCAGGGGCTTTGCAGAGAGTGACCCTCAGCTTTATCTGAGCAATGGAGGACACAAAACTCAGGATTAAAGAAAAC